GGCAATGAGTTCCAATCTTTTGTTAATAGAACATGAAATATATTAGAGGTTAAAAGACTGAAGACTGAGTAAATACAGTTAAGATACTGCAACAACCAAGAGTAAAGCTTATAAATATGGAATTAAGGTAGTGACAATGGGAATATGGTTTGAAAGATTTCATGAAGGTAGAATCGAGAGAACCTAATGCCAGACTGGCTAAGGGAGTCAAAGGAGAAGGAGAAGTAAAAGATCACAGATGTGGGCTGGGCGCGGTGGCTCATGCCTGTAATCCTAACACTTCGGAAGGCCGAGGCAGGTGGATTGCCTGAGCTCAGGAGTTTGAGACCAGCCTGGGCAACTCGGTGAAACCTCGTCTCTACTAAAATACAAAAAATTACCTAGCCATGCGCTACTTGGGAGGCTGAGACAGGAGAAATGCTTGAACCTGGGAGGCGGAGGTTACGGTGAGACGACACCGTGCCACTGCACTCCAGCCTGGGCAACAGAGCAAGACTCCATCTCAAACAACAACAACAACAACAAAAAAGCCATGGATGTAATTTCATGTTTGATGACAAAAAGGAAAGATACAGAGAGAAGCACATTTCAAAAGAGAAATTATTCTATTTTCATGATACAGTAAACCACTGACCTTCTGGAAATCCAAGTCCTACATCCTGATTAGAACTTATTCCTAAATACCAGTATAATAAAAAAGTATAACAAGCACTGTTCCACGTCATAAGAAAGGGAAAAAAAGGTATGTGTGAGATGTAGATGCTTGCTGATCAGTTGGGCTCTTACTACCCAAATAAATAGAATTCAACCAGTCTCAACACACACAATGAAAATTTTGGCCTTTTTAAAATCATAAATTATTACAAATTATGAACTTTCAAGGTCACTATCAAATTATAAAAATCACAAATGTTAGGCCGGGCACAGTGGCTCACACCTGTAATCCCAGCACTTTGGGAGGCCGAGGCAGGTGGATCATCTGAGGTCAAGATTCAATATCAGCCTGGCCAACATGGTGAAACCCCGTCTCTACTAAAAATACAAAAATTAGCCAGGCATGGTGGCAGGTGCCTGTAATCCCAGTTACTGCGGAGGCTGAAGCAGGAGAATCACTTGAGCCTGGGAGGCGAAGTTTGCAGTAAGTTGAGATCCCACCACTGCACTCCAGCCTGGGCAACAAAGTGAGACCCTGTCTCAAAAAAAAAAAAAAAAAAATTACAAATGTTAAGAACACAAATGATGAGTCTATGGTGGAAATGTTAAGCACAAAAATGGAAATGTAGAGCTAAGGAAAGAGGTCACACCTAAAGAGACTCAGCTCACTTTACAAGGATGTTCTATGACATAATGCCATAAATAAAGAGGACTGCAGACCCTTGTTCTACATCCTCAACATCTACAAACAGGGTGAGCCTGCTAAATAGAGTACAATAAAGGATCAAGCTAAGGACAGAGGACATGTCCTCAAGGAACATTTAGGGAACAGGAAGAGAAAACAGACAAAGACACATACAAGAGAGCAGTCAGAGAAGCAGTAACAGAATGGATATTATAATACGAAAAAAAAGAAAACAATGTCAACAAGGAACACACAGTCAACAGTGACAGTTCACAGAGGTCAGACAAGAGGAGGAAAAGACTATCAGATTTAGTAATTTAAAGGTTCCCAGGACTTTTACATATTTATCTCTGTAACTATTTCACAATGAAAACTTTTCACAAGTAGCCATGAATTACATTATAATTTGAAAAACAAGCCGGGCACTCATTCCTGTAATCCCAGCACTTTGGGAGGTCAAGGTGGGAGAATTACTTGAGCCCAGGAGTTCAGGCTAGCCTGAGCAACACGGTAAGATACCACCTCTACAAAAAATAAAAAATTAGGCTGTGGTAGTTCAGACCTGTAATACCAGCACTTTGGGAGGCCAAGGAGGGCTGTTCATCTGAGGTTAGGAGCTCGTGACTAGCCTGGCCAACATAGCGAAACCCCATCTCCACTAAAAATACAAAATTAGCCAGGCATGGTGGTGCATGCCTATAATCCCAGCTACTCGGGAGGCTGAGACAGGAGAATTGCTTGAACCCGGAAGGCAGAGGTTGCAGTGAGCCGAGAATGCACCACTGCACTCCAGCCTGGGTAAAAGAGCAAGACTCCATCTCAAAAAGAAAAAGAAAAAGAAAAAATTAGCCAGGCATGGTGGTATGTGCCTGTGGTCCCAGCTACTTGGGAGGCTGAGGGAGGAGGATCACTTGAACCTGGGAGTTCACGCTATGAGCTATGACTGCACTACTACACTCCAGCCTGAGTGAGATCCTGTCTCAAAAGAAAAATAAGTTTTAGTAACCATCACAATACATTCACACAATAGAAAATTACACAGCAATGAAAAAGAACTGTTTCTACAAGCAACAACATGGATAAGTCTCAAGACGTGATGTGGGCCAGGCGCGGTAGCTCAAGCCTGTAATCCCAACACTTTGGGAGGCCGAGACGGGCAGATCACGAGGTCAGGAGATCGAGATCATCCTGGCTAACATAGTGAAACCCTGTCTCTACTAAAAAATACAAAAAACTAGCCGGGCGAGGTGGCAGGCGCCTGTAGTCCCAGCTACTCAGGAGGCTGAGGCAGGAGAATGGCGTAAACCCAGGAGGTGGAGCTTGCAGTGAGCTGAGATCCGGCCACTGCATCCCAGCCTGGGCAACAGAGCGAGACTCCGTCTCAAAAAAAAAAAAAAAAAGACATGATCTGAATGAAAGAATTTGGTCACAAAAGAGTAGACTATGATTCCATTTATATGAAGTATTAGTTCAAAACAAACCTATAGTGACAGAGGTGGTGAGGAAGGTTACATCTGTAAAAGGGTAGCGCTAGGAGAAAGCACAGGGAGCATTCCAGGCTACTGGGAATGTTCTCCATCCTCATGTGAGTTATGATCATACAGGTACTCATTCTGTAATATTTCATGGACTGAATGAACCTTTGATTTGTCAAACCTCAATAAACAAGTAATCCTACACAAAAAAAGGTTTTGGTGACCTTAAAGACATCAAGTTTTGGGAAAGTATAAGTGAAGAAGCCAAACCATATTAGGGATGTATACAAGGTGAGGATGCTAAGACACTGAGTACAAACTCATTTTTCAAGAAGGTTGCTGGGGAAACAAGAGATAACAAAGTAGTTTGGGTAGGTTACACAATTCAGGGCAATTATGTTGTTTTGTTTTTATTTGTGATATAAAACAAAGAGAATAACAAGGGTCTAAGGCAAACAAAAGAGGATGAAATCAAGGACATCAAGTAGAGAAATTAGCCTCAGAGAGGAGGATGAATACTTCTTTCTCTGAGACTGAAGCTAAGGATGAGTAAACATAAAAATCATAAAATAAAGAGGAGGGAAAAATCAAGTAATCTTGAACTCTTCCATGAAATATGCAGTAAGGTCAACTGGACAGGTATACTGAGACAGGAAAGGATCTGGACTTCAAGTTCATTTTACAAGTTTTGACTAGATGATACTGTAGAGAATGTAAAAGACAAGTAGTAGGCACACGGGGGAGTAAATTACAGCAAGAGGACAATGCTCAGCAGCTGGAAGCAGGGGCAGAGATGGTCAATGGTGCAGTCTCCTCAGGGCTCAGTGGGGAATAAGAGGTGGAAGAACAAAACAGGGGAAAAGTCCAAGGGCTACCTAGCATGGTATATAATTTTTAAAGCGTCTAAAGGGCCGGGCACAGTGGCTCATGCCTGTAATCCCAGCTCTTTGGGAGGCCGAGGCGGGCAGATTACCTGAGGTCGGAGTTCGAGACCAGCCTGGCCAACATGGTGAAACCGTGTCTCTACTAAAAATACAAAAAAAATTAGCTGGGCATGGTGATGGGCACCTGTAATCCCAGCTACTCGGGAGGCTGAGGCAGGAGAATAGCCTGAATCCAGGAGGTAGAGGTTGCAGTGAGCCGAAATAGCACCACTGCACTCTCGCCGGGGCCACAAAGCGAGACTTCGTCTCAAAAAAAAAAAAAGTGACTAAGGAAAATGCGAATTATCTGAGAGAAAAGAGGTAAGAGACCTATAAGAAGTCTTAAAATATTCAAGGATGAAGTCACTAGGATTCCGAATAGAACTGAACAAAAGGAAAGCTGTCACTAGAGTTCATTACTACAGGACATTTTTTTGCAAATCCAACAAGACCAAGGATCACTTATTATCGTTTCACTAAACTTACTACCGCTACTAGTGGCAGCTTCTCCTGCCTGATAAAACTGACCTTTATCCCCTACTCATAAATACACCTACTCTTGACTAATAAATTATATAAACACAACCTGTTCATTCAGAAACTCCATGAATATTTATATGCTGCTGTGTTTTCCCAATAATGTATTTCAGTGGAAAACTAGAAGGCAAACGATAGATCTACGAATTCTGTTCACAAAATTGGGCTTAAGACTGCTCACATGCAGGTGTTTCACACGTGCTTTCTTGTGAAATAGATGGTTGGTAAAGAGAACCTTAACAATGATTGTGAACACGCTGGTACAAAAGTATAATGATGGCCAAATCAGAGAATGCTTGGGAGTGTCATCCGTTTTTACAATTTTAAGGACAACCTCTAGGAAACAGGATAATACTATATCAAATTGACTTTCCCCATCTTACACTATTTACTCCTATGGATAACTCAACGCCTCCTTTAGTAAGCCTACTCGTTGCAGCTCACACACTCAGCCCACATTCCAGCGTCCTTTCGCCCCATCCAGAACCCCTGACTACCTCCTGCACCAATTTTTCATTCTTCTACTCCCCCATTTCCAATTCAACCCCAGGCCACCACTTCCATTTCTCCACTCCCCATCTCTCGGCCTCCCCAGACCACCCACTCCTCCCCCGTAACTATTCAGACCCCACCCCTCCAAAGCTCCAGCCCGGGTCCTCCCGCCGGAGATCCCCTCCCCCACGGCCTCCATTCAGGTTCCCCCGCCCGGATCCCAACCCGCCCTACCTGCTCCTTGCCCTCGGGCCCCACGGGGCCCGTCCGCTCCTCTAGCCGCTGCCTCCCGGGCGGCGCTCGCCGGCGCAGGGGCAAGGACTGGGGCAGCTCCGCCGCCCGCTGAACTCCATCCTCCCGGCGGTCGGGCAGCGGCGGCTGCGGTCGGTCGCGGCAGCGGCTCCGCTTCATATCTGCAGCTGGGGCCCGCGGGCGTCAGCGCCGCGACTGTCCCGGCCCCGCACTGCCCCGGGCCGCAGCGCAGCCGCGCCAACCACCGCCCGCGGCCACCATGGCCGGGCGGACGCCCGAAGCCACCGACCCCAGCCAGCGGCGCCTTCGAGCCTTCTGGGGCCTCGGGCGCCGCGACCTTCTCTGCGCTCCTCACGGAAGAGACAGCATCGCTGCCGCCCCGCCTCGCCACCCGGCACACGCTGGGCAGGCCACCCGCCGCCGGCTCAGCCGCCTGCCTACAGCCAGCCTCCGGCCGGCCCCGCCCCTCACGCGCGCGCACCGGGAGCCCGCCCGCCACCTCCGGCCGCGCGCCGCCTCCCGCGCACGCGCCAGGGAACGGTCGCGAAGGACCCGCCCGTGGCCCTGGCGCGCAGTCGGAGGACCAGAAGGGGGCGGGGCTCTCGGCGCGCCGGCAGCGGCTGCGGACTCCCATTGAATCTTTCATTCATCCATTCATGAAATTGCCGGGCCAAGCTCAGTGCTGGGGACTCAAAAATGAGTTCGAGTCCATCGGTGTCCTCAAGGAACTAGGGAGAGAGGGGCCGGGAGCAGGAAGGAGACAGAATAACACAACTAATGAATAGAAGGCTAATGCGTGCCATTTTATTTAGTGCCTGCCAACCCTCACCTAATTCTCACATCACACTTAGGAGGCAAATCTGCGCATTCTCATATTACAGATGAAGACACTGAGGCGAAGTGAAATGCACCAGGTCACCCAGCAAATTAGTGATCAAACTAGACGTAATTCTGGCTTTTCTGTCCCTTTCCACTGTGTTTGCTCTTTCCGGACAGTAAGACAGTGTGGAAACGCCTATAAAAGTGGAAAAAGTGATGGATTCCTTCTGGGAGGAGGAGAGGACAAAAAAGGCATACAATGAAGTCATCGTGTAGAGCCCAGCCCAGTCTGCTGTGGCCTGGGTAGCCTGACCTGCTGCCTGCAGTGACTCATCTGCTCAGCAACATGTGGTGGTAGCTCAGCTCTGGCCTCCCTCTGGCTTCAGCTGGTCTGCCACATGTTGTGTTTTTCCTCTTTTGACCTAGAAGCCTTGCCTAAAGCCTTCACTGATTTGTCCTGGGCCTCTTCCCTAACCCCTTTCTGAGTAGTAAAAATAGCCAACACTGTGGAGTGCCCACTGGATACCACACACTATGCATTCAATTCACATATACACAAACAAGAAGTTGTATTTCCATTTTACAGTTGAGGAAATAGGCTCAAGTTATATAATATGCTCAACATCACACAGCTTATAAGTCCAGAGCCAGGACTCAAACCCAGGTCTGTCAGATGCAGACAGAAAGACAGTGCGGAAACTCCTATAAAAGTGGAAAAAGTGGGGGCCGGGCGTGGTGGCTCACGCCTATAATCCCAGCACTTTGGGAGGCCGAGGTGGGCCGATCACGAGGTCAGGAGATGGAGACCATCCTGGCTAGCATGGTGAAACCCCGTCACTACTAAAAATACAAAAACATTAGCCGGGCGTAGTGGTGGGCGCCTGTAGTCCCAGCTACTCGGGAGGCTGAGGCAGGAGAATGGCATGAAGCCGGGAGGGGGAGCTTGCAGTGAGCCGAGATCACGCCAATGCACGCCAGCCTGGGAGACAGTGCGAGACTCCGTCTCCAAAAAAAAAAAGGTGGAAAAAGTGATGGATTCCTTCTGGGAGAAGGGCAAGACACACATAACCAATGTGCTCTAAAGCCTGTCACCAGCCTGCTCCTCTATTCCCTGCCCCAGTTCCTCACCACCCATCCAGTTACCTCAACCAGAAACCTGGAAATCGTCCTGGACTCCTTCCTTGTCCTTTCCTCACATCCAATAAATGAACAAGTCTTATTGCCTCTATAACCTCACTATCTCTCCAATCTGCCTCCTCTTTCCATCCCATTGGCACCACCTCAAGTCTCATCTTCCCTCACCTACTTGACTGGGAAAGGCTTCTACCTGGTTCACTTACACCAGTCTCATTGTCTTCAAACTCATCCTTCAAAAAGCCCTCACGAGAATCTTCCTATATGTTACTCGCTTGCTTAAAACAGTTAAATGGGCTGGGCACAGTGGCTCCCGCCACTTTGGGAGGCCGAGGAGGGCAGATCACGAGGTCAGGAGATCAAGACCATCCTGGCTGACACAGTGAAACCCCGTCTCTACTAAAAATACAAAAAAAATTAGCCGGGCATGGTGGCGGGCGCCTGTAGTCCCAGCTACTCGAGAGGCTGAGGACCGCATGAACCAGGGAGGCAGAACTTGCAGTGAGCCGAGATCGCGCCACTGCACTCCAGCCTGGGCAACAGAGCAAGATTGCATCTCAGAAAAAAAAAAGAAAGAAAGAAAAAGAAAAAAGCAGTTAAATGAGGCCGGGCACGGTGGCTCACAACTGTACTCCCAGCACTTTGGGAGGCCAAGGCAGGTGGATAACGAGATCAGGAGATCAAGACCATCCTGGCTAACATGGTGAAACCCTGTCTCTACTAAAAATACAAAAAATTAGCCTGGCGTGATGGCGGGCACCTGTAGTCCCAGCTACTCAGGAGGCTGACGCAGAAGAATGGCGTGAACCTGGGAGGCAGAGCTTGCAGTGAGTCGAGATCGCACCACTGAACTCAAACCTGGGCGACAGAGCGAGACTCCATCTCAAAAACAAAAACAAACAACAAAAAAAAACCAGTTAAATGAATCTCAAGATAAAGTGTAAACTTACTATGGCTGGCAAGGTCATCCAAATCTGGCCTCTACCTCCCTCTCCTCCTATCAATCCATGCTGTGACAACTATTTATAATTATTCCAGGTACATGTACAAGGCCTGTCACATCCTTAGTTACAAACAACAGAAACAACTCTGGCTATCCTAAACCTAAGGGGTAATTTCTTAGAAGGCTACATAGAATGGATCACAGAGCTGAACAGAGACAGAAGAAAAAGGCCTATGAAACTGGTAGGAAACAAGGAGCCTCCACAGACTGCACCTCAGGGACAATCTCAGGACACTGCTATCACAACCACCAGGCAATGAGCTGTGCTGCTACTGTGCACCCCTGCAAAATAATTCTAACCTTCTCTTCATAGTTGCATCACCATTACAGATCAACAGTCTCTGACAGGAGAATCCACTGACTCAGCCTTGGTAACTTAAGGACCAGAACCCGTTCTATCTTCTCACCTTCCATATTGCGACTGCAACAGTTATTGGGCAGACAGACTCTAAGCTAGTCCTCCTGCTCTACCTGTCTCCCAGTATTTTACACCTTTATGTAATCCCTTCCCATGAATGTGGATGAGGCCTGAGACTTGTTTCCAACCAATAGAATACAAGTAATGTAATATCATTTCCTTGATTATGTTATGTTATATAAGATTCTGTCTTGCTAGAAGACTCACTCTTGCACTCCTAATGGCCTTGACAAAGCAAGCTGTCATTCTCTGAACTGCCTATGGAGAGGTCCATGTGGCAGGAAACTCCAGGCAACCTCTAGGATAGCCTCTGGCCCAACAGCACCAAAACAAAAAAACCTCTGTAGGTCCAATCCTACAAGCAGGAAGAAACGAATTCTCCTAACAATGAGACTAAGCTTGGAAACAGGCCCTTCTCCAGTTGAGCACCCAGATGGGAACACAGCCCACACAACTTGGTGGAAGCCTGATGAATCCCTGAAGCAAAGAACCAAGCTAAGATATATCTAGACAGAAACTGTGAGATAATAAATGCATGTTATGTTAAGCTTCTCAGTTTGTGGTAATTATATATTTGTATTACATGGTAATACAAAAGTAATACAGCCAGAAACCTTCTCAGCCTCCCATCAACCAGAAATGGCAACGTGACACAATGTGGCCCACATCCACTTTTTTTTTTTTTTTTTGAGATGGAGTCTTACTCTGTTGTCCAGGTTGGAAGTGCAGTGGCTCAATCTCCACTTACCACAACCTCCATCTCCCAGATTCAAGTTATTCTCCTGCCTCAGCCTCTGAGTAGCTAAGATTACCGGTGCATGCCACTGCACCCGCCTAATTTTTGTATTTTTAGTAGAGACGGGGTTTCTCCACATTGGCCAGGCTGGTCTTGAACTCCTAACTTCAGGTGATCTGCCCACCTTAGCCTCCCAAAGTTCTGGGATTACCGGCGTGAGCCACCACACCCCGCCCCACCTCCACTTTTATACTTGTCTTCACCAGCTCGGTAAGTGACAAGTCAATTTTTTTTTTTCAGTTGCTCAGGCCAAAACCTTGGAGTGATCCTTGAGTTCTGTCTTTCTCACATACTTCATATCCACTCCACTAGCAAATCCTGTGCAGATTAGTAGGATTATAATTAGCTGAGAGAGAGGTGATTGTGACTAGTACTGAGACAAGGATGGCGGGGAGGGACGAATGTGGGTGGACTTTTAGAGAGATCCAGAAAGTAGAAACCACAGGACCTGTTAACTGCATCAAGGGTGCAGAGAGAGAAAAAAGCCCTAGGAATGGTTTCCAAGTTTCTGGCTTGGACAACTGAGGCAGGGAACAGAAGAGGGAAAAAAAGTGTGAAAGATTATGGTCATTTCCATCTTAGATGTGTTTGCTCTGAAGTGCCAGTGAGATATCCAAGTGAAGATGTCTATTAAGCTACTGGTTACATCAGTGTAGTGCTCAGAACTGAGGGCCACCCATAGTTAGATGTTTAAACGATATGAACAATACCACATTCTTAGAATATAAATATGATCACATTACTTATCCTTATTCTAGTTAGGCCCCTTATGTCATATTATTAGGAAGCCTAGTATCTCCTACTTAATTATGTAAGAACTCCAAGATTGTTTTATATTCTAAAAGGTAAGTATGGGCTGGGCACCGCGGCTCATACCTGTAATCCCAGAACTTTAGGAGGTGGGACGATCACTTGAGCCCAGGATTTTGAGACCAGTCTAGGTGACATGGAAAAATCTCATCTCTACAAAAAACACAAAAACTAGCTGGGCATGGTGGCACATACCCATAGTCCCAGCTATTCAGGAGGCCAAAGTGGGAGGATCATTTGAGCACGGGAGATGGAGGTTGTAGTCAGTCAACATCACACGACTGCACTCCAGCCTGGGTGACAGAATGCGACTCTGTCTCAAAAAAAAAAAAAAAAAAAGTAACTAGGTAAGTATAGCACTTATCTATTGTTATTTAACAAACTATCTCAAAATTTGTGGCTTAAAACAACCACCATTTATTTAGCTGACAATATTGTGAGCCAACTGGGCTGTTCTTATGGTCTGGTCCAGTTTA